TGAAAACCCCCAGGACTGCACAAACACCAACCCTTCTACCGATCATGTAGCTGAAATGCTACAAACTGTATTTTTAATAACTTTATATTTTAAAATAAAAGGTGACCATGTTTGTTACTTTTGTCTCTTGCATCTTTTCTATGTTAAATTAAATGTATTTGTACATTCAATGTCTGAAGGGTACTAATTTTGGATAATCATGAGCATGTTAATCTAACTTTCCATTACTCTTGCTAAGTCTTCTTTACTAATGCATAAGATCCTGTTTAGGTTAACATGAGCTGCTTGACTTTGGGCTGTAATAGAGCACTAATTGCTAGCAGTAGACTTAAGGGACTAATAAACTTCTAGTTCCACCTAAAATTCTACACAAGTATTTCTTTCCACTAAAATACCAGTTTGATTGAGATCTCTTCACCATTAATTTTAACGAGGCTTGTTGCCATTTTAGGTGTTCTAGTAATGTGTCTCATTTAAATGAAGAGCCGATAACTGCTATTACCTTTACAGACTTCTAGTGAACTTGTGTCAAACCATGATCATATCACTAAATGCTCTCCTTACACAGTAATTTTAACTCTGTCAAAAACTATTTGTTGGGTTCATTTAATCCTAGGCCATAGCACAAGATTTAATTGGGTTAATATTCAGGGTAGTCTGTTCACAAAACCTAATGCAATATGCTGAAGCTTTTTGTTCCCCCCTGTTCAACCAAAATCTCTTTTCACCCTAGATTAGCACATTTTTCCTCAGAGGATTTCAGGGGCTCTTTACAAGTGAGTGCTGCATGTAATGTGAACTTCCACTCCTTATGAAGGTTTGTACTTTCCCCATTTATTTTGGGTGGTTGAACTCTGCATGCCTATTAGGTTGCTTCTGTCATTACAGGTCTTTGGAATAATGTAATAAGAGTTGCTAAGAGGTTACACTTAAGAATGACTTTTGGGGAGAGTCAGGCAGAACATGGAATTACTGGTTATTAGATGTAGCTTAAAAAAAAACTTGCACCATAGAGATGCTTTTTTCAAAGATCTGATTTCTATAAATTCAGATAAAGAGTACAAGATTATAGCTGTAGGTAGCATATTGAATTAGGGTAATATCTGGCAAAGCAGATGCATTCAATAGTTGAACAGTTAATTTTGATATGTAGAGGTGAATGGAAAGGCTCTAGGCATTTCAGTACCCTGAAGCCTCATTAAGACACATTTCTGTACAAAAATGTAGAAGGCTGGGGCTAATCTACATGGATTACAAGTAAAGAGTGTTGGGGGTGTGGACAAAGTTTAAAAATCACCTTTTACAGTTCCACAATCCTTGGGCATGGTCCTCATTTCTTGGGTTAGAGCAGCCTGAACACACCTCCAACTTCTGCCAGCAGCACCTAACCCCAAGAAGCTGAAGACTTCCATGGTGTAAGGTCATCCCACACACCCTTTTCCTTGCTATGCTGCCACCAGGTGGCTACATTGAGTAAGAGCCCCATACTGCTCTATGCATATACTATAGCTTCATCCTCTTTAGGATCCACCAGCATGGTGTAAAGCAGTCATACCACAGTATCTTCCCTCTGTTCTCTACAACATTGAATAGGTCTCATTTCTTCCAACTTCTACCTGAATACAAGGCTTATAGTGACATTCGTATTCCCAGAGTTAGGTTAATCTAAGTCCCCATTTTGGCTTACAATTGTCCCTTAATGTCATGCTGGCAACCAACACATTTTTGCCTACCTTCTCTTCCTCCTTCCCTGCCTAAAACAATGTCAAAAGGAAGTCCCTAGCTTAGACTAAATTCAATGCAACAAGACTAGTGTAGCAGAGAGGTAACAGCACACTGGATATAAACTCTCACTTTAATAGTCCTGCATTAATTCAAAAATAGATTTAATTATATTAGAAGAATGCTCAGTATTTATACAAAGAGGGTGGGGTTTTTTTAACTCTGCCTTTCTTTTCAATGAGAAAAGGTGAGGTTTTTTTTTATTGGACCAACTTCTGTTGGTGAGAGAGACAAGCTTTTGAACAGAAGTTTGGTCCAGTGAAAGTTATTACTTCACCCCCTTTGTCTCTCTAATATCCTAGAACTGATGTGGCCACAATACTGTACACAACCTATTTTCATTGTCAGGGTGGTTTTTTCCTGTATTAATATAATTGCAGTCTTGAAGTTGTCAGAGGAACCAGGAAGTTTTTTTCAAGAATCACCCACCTGGATTCAATCTCAGATTACAGGCACAGCAGCAGTATGCTAAAGCACTGCTCATCCCACAACATGCTATTCTCTCACTCAAGGAGTTACAATAGTGTCAATAATGAGAAATTCCTGGCACACAGGTAGGAATACAAATCCAGTATGGCAGCTGATTTCACTCAGTGATATCATTTGTGACTGAAGTCAGATGACAAATATGTACACGCATCTGGATAAAATACCACTTGAGTGTTCTTCTGAGTAGAGCTGCACTTCAAACTTGCCAAGTACATTTACCTCCATCAAGGTCTTCTAAGTGCTAAGATTTGTGCCTGATAGTCACAATAGCCCTAGCTGTAACATAGGGATAGTTGTTTTTTGCTAGTATTAAAAGTGAAGTCCCTGAGGCCTACTTTCTAAATACTGCTACCTTTCTTTTTTTGTATCAGTTTTTTGAAGGTAGGTATTAATCCAATCCTTGAGAATTTTGGATACTAATGTCAACATTTTCAGCATCATGAAATGGTCATCTTCAGATCATACCCTTTTCATTTTGAACAACTTCCAAATTCTAGCATTAGATTGACTATAGAAATACTCACCTCCTATTCTTAGATTAACCTGCAACAAGAGTGGCTTAAATGAAAGTACTCAAAAGAAGGATAGTATCCCTAAACAAGAGGGTTAAAGTATTCTCTTTATTGGGAAAAAAAAGTTTTCAAGGCAATTCAGAAACTCCATCAGCTAAATCACTCTTCCATTACGTAAGAGCTGTTCCTTTGTGAAGTACTACCATACCCAACCCTGCTCCACTACCCCAGAACAAGAACTGTTGGTGAATATCTTCCTGCAGACGGAACCTCAGTCATCATTCAGTCCACAAGCAGAATTAGAAAAAGTTCAATTACATACAATGAAAGTTAAATACCAAGAAGTCAGGCATTACTGCTCAAATAGCTTAGCTATTGTTTACTATTTTGAAACAAGATTTAAAAACACTTTTCTTCACTCACTGCACATGTTATGTTTACTCAGTTTCAAAATTAAGCCAAAATCTAGACCTGACAGCTAAATGCTATAGTTAACTTTTTAAACAATTCAGGCTTTAGTCTTAGCCAGATAATTCTCTGCAATACTTGTAATTTGTTTTTTTTAATTTTAATAGAATGTGAGAAGCACATCCCAATCATAACCTGCATAAGTTAGTACACTAAAAACTGAATTAAAGTTCAAGACATTTAAAATTTACAATTGAAGCAGTTTATATATAGTATTAACTTATAACACAAATAAATTTAAGTTTACTTGATAACACCTGAAGAGTTCACAGACAAATGCAAGACCTATTTTCACAGTTACTTGAATCAGTCACATTAGTTTGCATTTAAAAAATACTTTTATGCAAGTATACTACATTTGCAGCAGAACTTTCTTTTGTTCTAAAAGTAAAAGATGAGTAAGTGAATTTTTCCCCAAACATACTCTTCTCTACAAGCCCTTCAAAGTATTGACTGGTTTTGCCGAGTGCTTTAAAATAACCAGAGAAAACAAAAGTAATAACAGCCAGTGGGAGAGCATGTACAATTGAACCCACTGAAGATGTAGAATGTACCAACTAAAATGACAAATTTCATATTAGATCTTCCAACCAATGCATGTTTTATTCATTAAAAATCTTCCAGCTAAAGTATATGTTCCTGAGGAACTTGTTAATATTTGAAAATAAAACTATGAAAAGGACAGTCAAAGAATTATAAAGGTCTGTGCTGGGTCTGCAATATAGGCTGAGCAGATAGTCAAAGGGGCAGAAAATATCTATTGTGCAAGAGATTGCAGGCTGAAAGGTGAACAATTTTCAGTTTGATTTGGGCAGCAAAAATTTTTCAGTCCATGTAAATTATGTACAATATTATCAGGTGTATTCTGAATGAGAACATAGCTTTCAAATGCAGTCTGAACTTAGTGTCTGTAAAATCCTTCTCTTAGCGTTCTAGTATGGGTGCAAGGATTTTTAAGATCACTTCTAAATGTGAAGACTAGCTTAATTTGTATCTACACCTTTGAAAACAATGACACTTGTCACTTGAGCTACAATTCAAATTGTTCAGTTTCAGCAAGCTTAATGTACATATAACACCATTAGCATGAAATGTAAAGAATGGAGGTGATTACAAACCAGTGTCATCAGGAGGAGGCAGTTACCACAGATGCTGCCTCCTGAAGTGCAAATGTATTAAAATAATTTGTTTATATATTCTTTGTTTTAACTACTGTATGTAGTGGGGAAAAATGCTACAAAATATGTACTAATACCATAGTATTCCTTCTGCATGGCCTCCTCACTTTCCAGGGGTTAGTTACAGAAGGGATCAGAGGAGTCACCAGGTGTACTCCCCACACAGATTTATGGTGATCAGAACTGTGTGCACAGCAAAAGAGGAGACATCAATAAATTATTCCCATCTTCTCCCAATTTAAACAGAGATACAGCCCCAAGATTCTGTGACAGGTTTCAGAGTAACAGCCGTGTTAGTCTGTATTCTCAAAAAGAAAAAGGAGGACTTGTGGCACCTTAGAGACTAACCAATTTATTTGAGCATAAGCTTTCGTGAGCTACAGCTCACTTCATTGGATGCATACTGTGGAAACTGCAGAAGACATTATATACAGTTGTCTTCTGCAGTTTCCACGGTATGCATCCGATGACGTGAGCTGTAGCTCACGAAAGCTCATGCTCAAATAAATTGGTTAGTCTCTAAGGTGCCACAAGTCCTCCTTTTCTTTTTAAGATTCTGTGAGTTTGTGAATGAATAATCTTTGAATACAGGCACTGGTGACAGTTCCAAGTATATAAAGAATCTGAATCAGACACTAAAAGTTTAGATCAGATTTTACCATCGGCTGTTCTAAGTAAGAGTTATTAAGTGTGCAGTGGTTTTACAGCAGGTTACTTAATATTTTAAAGCTGCTACCTCTTTCTGGAAGCATAACTCATGTAAAAATATATAGGTGGGCTGATATTTCAACTGCTTTCTTTAGGAAGTTCTTAGCTTAACTTGATTTAAGGATGAAGTTTAATCTCTAAAGACACAATGTCCTTGGGCATGCACAGGAACTCCCATCAATATATTTTGTATTATTAATGGAAAGCTGACATTTCAATATGTATAATTTTGCTTTGCTTTCATTTAACTGCATCTTTTATTACTAATGGTAGTCAATGCCAACACCCATTGAATCTGCAAGGTCCTAGGAAGACTACTACGTTCTTACCACTTTCTAGTCCTATCCACAACCCAAGGCATGCAATAAGGCTAATAAATAAACGACTGGGGAATAACTTTCCTTCTTGTAGTGTCTATATGGAGTTTTCAAAGCAAAATTTAAGCTAATGCTTTTTTAAATGTACTACAAGTGGCATCATGTGTTACCAAAGAGCATCTAGAGTTTTGGTTGCTTTCTAAATAGCTCAAGAGTTTTTTTTTTTTTTTTTTGAAGTTGCTTTTTGGATAAGAATTTTATTGTAATAGTAAGTAACTTCTGTGCCCTTATGCTGAAATTTAGAAAATTTAGATACACGTTTTAGCAGAAAAACTTTGCTTAAATTGGAAGTAACAACCTAGTTTCACACACAAAAAAATAAAAATCTAGGCATCTTAGCAGCCAGCCCACCCTAATAGTCTGTTGCATTACCAAATTTTAAAAACTGTAGCAATTGCACCAAGTGTTTACTGCACCAATTCCCCAATCCTTGATAAGCAGGTGCCACGTACATTTTCTTCCATAACCAGAGCTCTAGATAAATCTCCACCTTCACAATGCAGACCTTGTTACAATATCCTAACCCGTACAAATAAGTGAATTACAAATTTAATTTGCAACTGTCATGAATTAAGCCACATCCAGTACACCTGCAGCCACCAGTTGCCTTGAAAGCCAGTCCAATCCTTCATATAGTCCCATGCCACTTTGAGCATCACAGCCCTGAATATACCAGCTACGGCCACAGCAGAGTTTATGGAGACTCAGCATTTCTGTGATTTCTTCTACTGAAAGAGCCCCCGCTACATCCTGCAAGAGAGCCAGGCATTATTTTAAATGCACACAGTAAATTTTCTAGAGATTTCACTTTCACTGATAAGAATATAGATTATCTAGAACGGTTAGAAAATCTCCCACATCATCTTAAAAACCTCAAACCAAATTAATCGTCTTAAGGCTGGACAGAAGGTTTTACTGGCCTTGTCACACATGCAGAAATAGCTATTGGATTCATTAAATCAGTGACTAGTCTCTTCTTAAATATTGTCACTAAATATTAAGGAAAAACATTAAACTTTATTCCTTCCCCATCCCCACATTTTAATTATGGCAGACTGTTCACAAAGTTTGTGTTAATTACAGTTTTAAAAAGGAATAGAAAAAAATTCACCAATACCTGCTTATTGGCAAAGATCAGCAGCAAGGCATCCCGCAATTCTTTCTCTGTTAATAACTTTGCAAGTTCACTGTGTGCTTCACTAACCCTGTCTCTGTGACTGCTATCGACAACAAATACCACCGCTATGAAAAAAATAGTGAAACATGTTTCGCACACTCTCAAAAGTCACTCAGACATAATACCCAAATGCACTGACTCCTCAACTCCACAAACTCCCGTTTATTTCCAACACAGAATCACCTACAATGCACAGATTGAGTGTCTCAGAATTGCACATTAACTCAAGCCTCAGTATTATTGAGATAGTGTACAGATAAACATACTTATTCGGAAAAAAAGTCTTCCCAAAAGCCAGCATCTTAGACCCTGTCTACAGAACGAAGTTGCAATGGTTTAACTTAAATCTGTTTTTAAACCCATTTAGTTTAAACTGACTCAAAGCCCTGTGTGGAGACTTGCTTCAGTTTAGCTTAAAGCAATTCCTAATCAATTTACACTAAATCAAAATAAGAGTGTCCACATGGCTTTGAACCAGTATAACTAAATCAGTTCAAAATCACATCTTTAGCTAAACCAGTGCAATTTTCTCATCTAGACAAGCCTTAAGGGCATGGCTACACTTGCAGATGTAGAGTGCTGTGAGTTAAACCAGTCCTCAGAAAGCGCTGCAGTGTGTTCACACTGTCAGCTTCAAGTGCACTGGCGTGGCCACATTAGCAGCTCTTGCAATGCCACAGAGAGCAGTGCATTGTGGTACCTATCCCAGCATGCAAGTGGCTGCAACGTGCTTTTCAAATGGTGGGGGGAATGGAGTGTGACAGGGAGTGTGTTGGGTATATGTGGGGGAGAGAGTGTGGGTTTTGGGGGGACTGAGAGCATGTCAGCATGCTCTCTTGTAAGTTCAGACCCCCCCCTCCCCCGGCCTCTCTCTCTCACGCACAGGAAGCAACATTCCACACTAATGGTTGCTTTGTCCCAGAGCAGATAAGTACGCCGGATGTCAGAAACGGAGTTTTAAAAGGGCATATCCGCATTCCTACAGCCAATTCCAAAACAATGACAAGAGTGTCCACTTGACTTAAGGGGATTATGGGACGTTTCTGGAGGCCGATCGCAGTAATGCAACACCTCATTCACACTGCCGCTGGGGCGTTTCAGACGAGGCATGGCAAGAGTTATGCTTCTCGTGGAGGTGGATTACCAGGAGTGCTCCAGCTGCAGAGTCCCGGTGCTCTAAGTGCCTTGCCAATGTGGACGGGTTGCTTTAATGCACTCAACCTTGCAAGTGTAGCCAAACCCTGAGTTAAAGTTATGTACACTTGTGGGAGGATTTTACATGCCAAAGAGGCTGTAAGATGGCATGGATGAAGGGTTGGCATAGAGTCATTTACTATTAGGAACTCCTGGGGGTTGTAGACGGAAGATTAATGAGCTAAGGAGGCAGAACTGGAGAATAGAAATTCTCTGTGTAAATTTCAGTGCTTCCCAGCTTTTACAGTGGAAAAATAAAACAGTTATAGTAAAGAAGCAAATTAACTGTTGGTATTTTCAATTCTCACCCTAGCCCTGCCCCTCTTCTACTCTCATAGGAGAAAAGACCCTATGTTGGTGAGCTCTACATTCTGACTTTTGAGATGATGTTAATCTCTGAAAATGATTTTTTTAAAAGAAGACCTGATTTAGAATGTCTCAGAATTTTGCAAAGAAGGCTCTGAAGAATGTACCTAGAAGTTTGTTATCCTTGAAAGATTCAGGAATCTCAACCCCACTTTAAATGGAAAACAAACTTAGAGCACTTATGACACCCCCATAATTCAGTGCCCAAAAGTATAGTAGGCACTTTCATGCCAGTAACATTCAGAAGAATGTTTTACCATGTGGACAGCAAAGCTGTTCTGATACACTTGTTTTTATCTGTATTAATGTAACTAGGATTGGACATTGTGCTCCAATACTGGGTCAGAAGTTATGTCACTTTGTAGAGTTGATATTTTAATTTCAAATGTTATCCAACGTTTATAAATGTGAAGTGCTACTTGTCACCATGTGAACTTCTCGAATGCTGCATTTTTGTCCGCTGTCAGCTAAAACCAGCTAGGTTTTAGAGGTTCTAATTTTTGTTATGGCTCCATGAACTATGGAGCTGATGAATTTATGAAGAATGCAACTTTTCCAGCGACAAAGATCTACTGGTCCAAAATATTTTCTTAGGCCATGAATCTAGCACCCATACTTCACCTTACACAGAATTACTTATTTTATGTCAATTTTCTATGGTTAAATGATTTCTAGTCATATTCTTCTGGCACTAATGAATGCACAAACTACAAAACCAAACAAACAGTCTAAATATTTTAGCAATCCTACCTTGTGTATTGAGGTAATAATGCTTCCACAAAGGCCTCAACTTGTGCTTCCCTCCTACATCCCAAATAGTAAACTTCAGATTTTTATATTCTACAGTTTCAACATTAAAACCTAAAAGAGAAAAGTTCACTTTTTATACTCTTATTCCTAATAATGAATCCGTCAAATTTTTAAATCACTCAGTTACATACCTATTGTTGGAATAGGTTGCATGAACTCATCCTGCTTTAACTTAAACAAAATAGTTGTTTTGCCAGCTCCGTCTAATCCTAGGGTCACAACTCGAATCTCCATTTTTGGTCCAATATGTACCCTGTTGTCCTGGTGAAAAAAAAATATAAAAACACTGAAAACACGCTAAAAGATCCATCTTCACTGTCTTTATAGGAAACTTCAGGATCTCTGTGCCATGCAACATGTCTCACTATTTGTAAAGTGCCATTTTAATTTATAGATTAATAGATTTTAAACCCAGAATGAACCATAATGCTCATTTAGTCTGACCTTCTGTCTACGCCATGGAACCTCACTCAGTAAATGATAGGGGAACCATTTACCAGGAACTGTGGAAAGAAGAATGTGCCTTAAACAGAAAGGTTTCTGGAGCTATAAGAATGACCTTTTCCCTCACAACACCAAAAATGTGGTTCTTGTACAGATAGGGGAACTAATTCCAAAACCTGCCTTTTGGCACTAATGGCAAGTAGGAAGGCCAGCCACAGACTAATATAATCTCTCATTCTGATTAATTCTGATGACATCAGAAGTTTCATCTTGGCTGTGGCTCCCTGCAGAACGCCATGAGTCCCTGAGCTCTCATTTCTATGGTGCTTGGTTGTACAGGAATCCAATATAGAAATGCTAATGTAGCTAATATCCATCATTACTTCGTAATTATTATTATATTTGTATTATGGTAGCATCTAGAGGGCAGGGCTCCCCTGTGCTGAGCTCTGTACAAAGAGGCAGTTCCTTCCCTAAAGTGTCTGTTTCCACTGACACCACAAACATAAATTTGATATCAAGGAATGAAGTTTCCTGGTTGAGTTCCGCCTATACACCAAAATATAACTGGTCTGGATTAAAAAAATTCTTGCTTCAAATATATCTGGTCTTTTCTGAAGGTGCAGTGTGAGTTCCTTGGCTATCTAGCAAGTCCATTTTTGCTTCGAGGTCAGTGGAAAACTAGGAGGACTTCAACTTTTCCTCTCCCTCTTTTCTGAGCCCTTTACCTTTACTGTCTTGAAAGGTAACCGATTCTTCTCTGCCCAGGGCATTTTTCCATTGCCATGGGGAAGCTCTGACATCTGGTTGCTCTTACTTTTGGATGAGATAAAAAGACTCTTGTCTTAGTCACAGACCAACCTCGAAGAGAAGGTAGCAGGATACTTCCATTCTGAGCAGCATAATTGCCTCCTATGTACTGTGACAAAGTTCCTGCTCTACCTTGGTGGCTCTTGTGCTTATTGGCAGATTTGCTCGCCTTGGAGCTTCAAGGCAGCCCTCAGCTTGGCCATTTTTCTGAACCCACAGTCCAGGTCGACTCCTCCTGTGTCTGACCAGGAGTTGGGAGGATTTGGGGGGAATCCGGGCCCGCCCTCTACTCCAGGTTCCAGCCCAGGGCCCTGTGGAATGCAGCTGTCTAGAGTGCCTCCTGGAACAGCTGTGCGACAGCTACAATTCCCTGGGCTACTTCCCCATGGCCTCCTCCCAACGCCTTCTTTATCCTCACCATAGGACCTTCCTCCTGGTGTCTGATAATGCTTGTACTCCTCAGTCCTCCAACAGTCTGCGTTCTCACTCTCAGCTCCTAGTGCCTCTTGCTCCCAGCTCCTCACATGCACACCACAAACTGAAGTGAGCTCCTTTTTAAAACCCAGATGCCCTGATTAGCCTGCCTTAATTGATTGGCTGCAGGTGTTCTAATCAGCCTGTCTTAATTGTCTCCAGAAGGTTCCTGATTGTTCTGGAACCTTTCCTGTTACTGTCGAGGAAGCCCCCCCGCTCTGGGCCTGGGCTAACCTGAACACCTCTCCCTCCTGAAAGCTGTTGTGTTATACCTTCTGATTGCGTTGTTTTGTTGCTAAGTTTTTCTTTATCCTTTTGTACTCTCTGTAACTGTTACAAATAAATTTCTTTTCTGTTTCAATAAAAAACCTTTCCTGTTACTGTCGAGGAAGCCCCCGCTCTGGGCCTGGGCTAACCTGAACACCTCTCCTCCTGAAAGCTGTTGTGTTATACCTTCTGATTGGTTGTTTTGTTGCTAAGTTTTTCTTTATCCTTTTGTACTCTCTGTAACTGTTACAAATAAATTTCTTTTCTGTTTCAATAAAAAAACCTTTCCTGTTACTGTCGAGAGCCCCCGCTCTGGGCCTGGGCTAACCTGAACACCTCTCCCTCCTGAAAGCTGTTGTGTTATACCTTCTGATTGCGTTGTTTTGTTGCTAAGTTTTTCTTTATCCTTTTGTACTCTCTGTAACTGTTACAAATAAATTTCTTTTCTGTTTCAATAAAAAACCTTTCCTGTTACTGTCGAGGAAGCCCCCCCGCTCTGGGCCTGGGCTAACCTGAACACCTCTCCCTCCTGAAAGCTGTTGTGTTATACCTTCTGATTGCGTTGTTTTGTTGCTAAGTTTTTCTTTATCCTTTTGTATTCTCTGTAACTGTTACAAATAAATTTCTTTTCTGTTTCAATAAAAAAAAAAAAAAACCTTCCCTGTTACCTTACCCAGGGAAAAGGGACCTACTTAGCCTGGGGCTAATATATCTGCCTTCTATTACTATCCTATAGCCATCTGGCCCGACCCTGTCACAGTACTTACTTGTACCCTCTTCTGAAGCAAATGGTATTGGTTGCTCTCAGACAGCGTATTGGACTAGATGGGCCTCTGGTCCTATCCCATACAACCATGTTTGTGGGGTGCTTTTTATTTGTTTGTTTTGTTTAACTTTAGATACAACACTGATGGGGTGTCAAAGTGAACTAAAAGGATGTATACTCAAATTTTGTCCTCCAAATGTGCTTCCCCATCCTGCAAAGATTGCTTCCATAGTGAGTATGCAAGGTCTAGATTAAAAACTGGGTTGCCACTTAAAAAAAACTGGGTTGGTTTTCAGCAATAATCTAAGGGACACTCAGATATGACTGGAGAACGACACTGCATTCTGTGCTGTATCAAGTATGCCATTCCATGACCTCAAAGAGTTTGGATTCTTTCTGTGGCTCCCCCCTCCAGCCCAGGTCTGTTGAGAGACATACCCTCCTGAGCTGGCTGGCTGGTGTCCTTATGGTGGTATCTCCCCAAGTGCTCAGAAGCTCCTGATCAGACTATTCTGTGTTGGAATTATGGTTCCTCATGGCAGGGCTGGACCCAACATGCGGGTCTTACTCTGAGCACCATGCCATGGCAGCAAGAGGGTTGGCTGGCTGGGGACAGGCAGAGCATAATTCACCCTCTAAAGTGTGTAAATGCTGCCTCACAATGGGAACACCACTTTAATGTACCTGGTATTTGTGAGACAGCTCTGCCACACCTGAGTGGGGACAGAGGAGTCTCAGAGAGGAGGCACTGCAGCAGCAGATCTGGGTGGCTGAAACCACCATGCTGCCAAATACCTGCTCTGCGGGGGGGAGGGAAGGGGGGGATATATTTTAACTCACTGCCAATGAAAAATTGAAAATTATATAACAAAATGGTCAGGAGAAACTGACCTGCCAATCTGTTCCACCACCAGAGGCAGAAAAACCTGGTGGCCTGAGCTGAGCGGCTAGGTTTTGTCCTGGAGCTTCCGACAACTACACTAAAAGCTTCCATATTCTACAGGTGAGGGGCATTAACTCATCAGTAAGGATAAGATTTAGTCACAGAGGTCACAGATTCTCTGACTTTACTGGATCTCTGTGACTTTGGCTTCAGCTGTCAGAGGCAGGGGTGGAGCTGGGGCTATGCACCCCTCTCCATCCCCCACTGCTGTGGCCAGAGCTGTGGGCCTGCCCTCCGTGGCTTCACCTAAGGCCAGAGCCGGAGCCACTGCTGTGTGCCCCTGCCGCAGGGCCTGGGCCTGACTAAGGCTGTCAGTCCCCACCATGGGGATCCAGGTGTCATTCCTTCCTTCCTTCCCCTCCCCCTCCAGCCCTCTCTCCTCCATTATTTTGAGTAAAGTCACAGACAGGTCAGGGCTCCCATTAATTTTTGTTTATTGCCCACGACCTGTCCATGACTTTTACTAAAAATAACCGTGACAGAAATCTTAAACCTTGCTCATTAGTAATCAGTGAGAAAAGCTGTGCTATAGAATCCACTTCTGAATCCCTGACCTTGGTGCAGAAATACTAGGAATATTCCTGAAAATACACACTATTGTCTTCTTGACTCTTTCATGCAAGTTCACATGAATATCTTGCACAAAGTAGTAAAGATTCCAAGTCATGAGGTATCTACTAATAGTAAATTAAAAGCAATACTGAAGTACAGAGTTACGAACTGACTGGTCAACCACACCCTCATTTGTAACCAGAAGTATGCAATCAGGCAGCAGCAGAGACCAAGAAAAGAAAAGAAAAGAAAAGAAAAGAAAAATACAGTACAGTACTGTGTTAAATGTAAACTACTAAAAAATAAAAGGGAAAGGTTAAAAAAGATTAGACAAGTTAAGGAAACTTTCTGTGCTTGTTTCATTTAAATTAAGGTGGTTAAAAGCAGCATTTTTCTTCTGCATAGTAAAGTTTCAAAGCTATATTAAGTCAATATTCAGTTGTAAACTTTGGAAAGAACAACCATAACGATTTGTTCAGAGTTACGAACATTTCAGAGTTATGAACAACCTCTTTTCCCGAGGTGTTTATAACTCTCAGGTTCTACCATACAGATTTTGATAGTAACCCTAGTAATAACATACAGTACAACTGAGACAGTCTCCAGACTGAAGCCCCTTCAGGAAAGCACTTCATTGGCATTGTTCTTGCTGCTTCATAATGAAAACAGCAGCAAGTCACCCAAAATAACAGTGTCTCCTTCCCCCATTAACAATGAAGAGATATGGATGCAGCCTAATATACAACACAAACAAAACATCATCCTTCACTTTTCTCAAACTTCTTGTCTTTTTGTTCAACTGTGATTCAAAGCCCATTTAAAAATTCTTTAATTATAGGATTAGGAAATAAATCATTTAGAGGAAACTCCAGTGTATTACCAAAATTTCACAATCATCTCAACCTTCTTTCAGAAACAACTTCATATTATTTTGAGATACACATTGAAACTAAGCAGTAAAACCTACTCAGAATATGAAGGCTGCCAATTTGGTACCAAATGCTAAGTTATGAGAGGAACAAATTCACGATGAGAATCAATGGAAGAAATACACCAGTTTGAATGCTGTAAATGGAAATATGTAATGGAATTTTTTTTTTTTGTATTTTTAATAGGCAAATAAGAAATCAAATAACCAGCATCCACCAGGCTTGGTGTTTGTCCAAAACCACTCCCAATTTTAGGAGGCGGGGGGGAGAGGTAGGGGGGGAGAGAGCAAATGGGGGGGAAGGCTGCTTTCCGGAGAGTATCTTTTGGTTTTTTAGAACTCCTGACAGCTATCTTGATCATTAAAATAAAATTTAAAAATAATGAAAAATATAACAGTTCAGGTAAAAAAACAGAGATATCTATGTAGCAAACATACTCTAAATGCAAACTGACAAAGAAACACCACTCAAACTGACTGCTTTTTCCCCCCCATCTGGTTCAACAGAGAGTAAGTATCTTGTGTCATAGTGCAAGATAGCAGCCTCCGTATTCTGGAATCAGAGTCAGTCGCACCCAAAAAAATTTTAAAAAGATTTATTTTTACACAACAAATGCATTTGCAGCATCTATGAAAAGTCTGGTGATAAATCACTGCAGTTTTCCTTTAATACACATTTTTAATTTCAGAAAGCAGATAGTTCTATTTTCACTAGAATCTTGAAGACATATGAAAAGGGTTTTGAAGACTATACCTTTGTAAAAGTGACAGGAATGCTAGCATCCAGCTGTATATGATCTGCAAGTTCTGTAAATTGCTGCTGCTGTTTTTGTAATGTTTCTAGTAGCCTTGTAATCTCCTGTTTAGCCAACACTACTCTGCAGTCATCCTAAAACAGACAAAAGGCAGAAGCACTCTTTCTACTAGTAAATCATTTAATGGAAAAAAAAAGGGGCAGATAATTATGTATGGCAATAAAACGGTTTTCTTTTTTATTTTGAATAATCTCATAGAACAAAGTTTACATTTACAAAAAATGCATTTAAGAAATGATACATTTTCCACTTTTATACTGCAAATCTAATCCTAATAGAGTTCAAAGAGCTTTGGAAAACAAACAAACAAAAAAAAAAAAACAAAGAGAAAACACATCTCTCTCACCCCTCATTCCCCCAGTGATGTGAAAGAACAATATCTATACCATTCACAGAAATGTAGCTTCCTCAGGCTTGGAATATGACAACTGGTTAAATAGCATACAGCAACACTACATAACTGTGAAAAACTGTACCCAGGTGTTAAAACTGGGAAATTTAGGTAAGTAGAATGTCAGTATTTAAGGTGAAATTTGACCAGAGTTAGTTCCCAATGACTTAAAAAGAGACAAAAGCAATTTAAAATCATGTTAAAAAAATAAAAAGCTGTCTTACAATAACAGCATATTAAGTAGATAAAACTGAAAAAATTTTAAAAATAAAGTTGACTTTTTACGAAATATGTTTTTTTAATTTACTTTTTGCTCTTTACTCATCTTGGACAATGAAAACAGACTGGTCAGTTTTACCTTTAGTATAGTAACTTACTTCTCATACTCAGCACAATGCTGCGATGTTTGGGTTGCAAAATTCCAAAGAACCACTTAATTCCAAGCAAACATTTTTCTACCCGACTTTATTTCCAATAAAGTATTCATTAGTAACAGCAATTGTAAAACCTTTCCCCTGTAAAACCTATATTTTTAGCCTGAGCTATACACCTGTGTCTCCATATTCACACCACAAATAAATACTATAATGTTTTCAATCTCACTTTATAATAGCGTGTTTCTAACATGATAAAGAAAATTTAAAAGCACAGCATTGTCCAATTTAGCAGTTTATAACCTAAGCTTCATTTACAGATCCAACTATGCACTTGCTCCATGTTACAGCTCACTTAATCACCTACCTGCTGCAAAGTCTTTTCACAGTGAAGACAAGCAGTTGAAACCTGTGACAACAGGATAGTCATGTCTTCTTGTTGTTGTCTAAGCCAAATCAATTTCTCCCGCACATGTGCGTCAACCACACTAAGTGCCATTTCTTCCTGGCGACAAAGGGTTTCATGAAGATCAGAAAAATAGGCTCGGACGCATGAACGGGCATTTTCTGCAGTACCTGGGACCTACAGTGTAAAGTCATAAAATCAAAGATAGAAAATTAACAATCAAAATCATTTTATTCAAATAGCATAATACTTAGTGCTGTGTTACATTCCAACTCCTAACTTCAAAATGAGTGACCGGCAGATTCAGATCTCAACAGGCACAGTTTTGGTGAGGGCTGTATATCTGCTCCCAGCACTAAGGCCTTTGCATAGGTTATTCCAATAAACAATTACTTATTACATGTATACAGTGTATGAAAAAAATACTAACAGGGAGAAATAACTTGAAAAAAATACAACAGCATATGAGGACACATGGACAAACTACTTTCCATAGTACCTCAATGCAGTATAAGTACACCTCTACCCCGATATAACACGACCCAATATAACACGAATTCAGATATAACGTGGTAAAGCAGCGCTCTGGCGGGGTGGAGCTGCGCGCTGTGGCGGATCAGTGCGTCAGCGTGTTTGGCTCCGACGCGCTGCTCTGAGCAGCGTGTTAAGGGTGTCGGGCCGGAGCCGAGGGGTTGGATAAGGGGCAGAGGGTCTCAGGGGGTGGTCAAGGGGCAGTCAGGAGCAGGGCCTCTCCCCCCAGGGTCTGAGAGGCAGGAGTTGTGAGGGGACACTTTTGGGGGCCCTGCAGGCCCAGAGTGGCCCGGGTGATTAATGGGGGGCTGGAAGCAGCCTGCTCCGCTTCCCTCGCCCTGGCCCCAGCCCTGTCGCTCAGGGGAAGGGATCCCCCACCCCCACACACACTCACCAGCAGCGGCAGAAGCAGAGCAGCCCAGCCCCAGCCCGCCAGCTCCCAGCCACAGCGCTCCACTTCCCGCTGCTGGTGAGTGCGGGACCTTTCCCCAACTCCCCGCCCACCCCACCCAAGTGACATGGCTGGGGCCGGGGCTGCGTCGCTCTGCTTCCCGCCGCAGGCGAGTCCTTTCCCCAACCTCCCCACGCTCACCGGCAGTGGGAAGTGGTGCGCTGCAGCTAGGGCCACGTTGCTCTGCTTCCCGCCGCTGTCAGCGAGTGCCTGTCAGGGGTCAGGGGTGTGGATGGGGTAGGGGCAGTCAGGGGACAGGGAGCAGGGGGTTTGGGTAGCGTCTCTGAAGGGGGCAGTCAGGGAACAGGAAGCAGGGGGCCAAAGCAAGTTTGATATAACGCGGTTTCACCTATAACGTGGTAAGATTTTTTGGCTCCTGAGGCTTATATCGGGGTAGAGGTGTATATAGCTCTCCCCAAAGCCACTCTAATTTCAGTAAAATCAAGGAGACAATCAACGCGATAGAAGTTCTCCTGGCATCTCTCTTGGGACTCAGTCTTTCCAGGTGTGAGCACATTCAATTTCTACTGACTTTGCAGAACTGAGGCTACTCAGTAACTTGCAGAACTGGACTCTGAGTGAGCTCTTATGTATAATTCTCATACAACACTCTTAAAAGATTTTGGTTACTACAGAAAAAATTATGTTGTGTTTGAGAAAAACAATTTCTTACATGTTCTGTGTGGGCCATTCCAACTCCATCTTCCACTATTTGTTCTCCTCCTTCAATTTGTTGAACAATTCCAACTAGTTTTCTGGAATAGTCTGAGATTTCTTCTGTGAAGGTTCTTATACAGTGTGCCATGTCTAAAATGGATGCACGGATCTGGTTTGCTTCTGGTTCCAAAACAGAATGCTACGATCAAAAGCAACACATACCAAATGTCAGCTCTAAGTTTCCCTTCCAGTCACCATCAGCCGAGCTAAAATAAGATTTCCCCCCCATACTATGCAAAAGAATTAGGGAAGGAAAAAAAGAGGAAAAATTTGGACTAAACTTAATCTTTGATAAATTAAAAAAAAAAAAAATCAGGTATTATTCATTTTGTTATGCGACTGAAACAGGGATATAGCAATCACACAAATAACTACATGTGCACATTTGTCTTTCCCCCCCATCTTTAATAAAATGTAAAGAGAAAAAGGGAAAAACTGTTTGGACCACCATCTATTGTCTGGGTGACACTGCAACCCCTACATCATGAACAGCTGACAACTATCAAAACTGGTGGCTTGCATAGATAATGAGTCTTTCTGCCTTATAAATAGATGAAGAACAGCACTGTGGTTTTACAGATCACAATGATTTTTTGTTTGTTTGTTATTGCGCTGTTACCACAGCAGTTGCCTGAAGTGAAGGAAAGGAACAAAAAGGCAGGGACGTTCTTGATAAAGGCTTAAAGATCAGGCATGAAAGAGAGGGAGGGAGTTTGTGTGCTTAACAATGGAAAGAAGTATTATTTTCTTAAACGATCCAACAGCACGAGTGTAATAGAAAAACAACAGTACCTTATGACCTTGATGCTTTCCATATTCTTTGCAGACACAACACATTAGGGGACTGGTCTGACAATCTTCTTCTAAACAAACAAATTCAATGGCATGCACCTGGTGCTGGCAACACAGGGTCTTCTCATGAGGTTTTTCAGCAAGAGGTACACGCCTATGTTTTGCTAATGTCTTCGTAGAATGGGTAAGCTGTGAACACTCGGCACACAAGTGAGTGGCACAAACAGTGCAGTATACAGATGCAACATGAGCTTCATCTTCATCACAACGAATGATGCTCTTTAACAAAAAAGCCTTAATGCGTTAATATTGGATTTCAATAATTGAAAATAAATTAGATTAGATACTTTCAACTTGTCCAAGCCTAAAAATTTCACTCCCCTTAAAATCATTAATTGCTAAGAAACGTTCACCTTATTCCAAATGGGTGATTTTAAATTCTGCACTCTCTCACCAAGCCCTTCTTTACAAATAAATAAATATATTTAAAAAATTCACCATTTGAGTGAACCACAGGAGACTGATTTTCAGAGGTCCTGAGTATCCACAACTCAAACTGAATTCAATAGGTACTGAAGATGCTCAAAAACAATGAAAAGTCAGATCCCAGACTTTTCTCCAATGTCTCTTTTAAAAAACAAAAACAGGATATCAATGGGTGAGCACCTCTTTAAGACAATACATTGTTTCTAGGATGGATTATATTGTACTGGCTCAGTCATGATCTCACTGCAATAACATCAGTGTATAAGCAGCCATCAGGAAACACTCAAAACAGCTAATTAATGCAGTTACCAAATTAATGTAAAAGGATGAAATTTGGGAAAGAAAGTCATTTTCAGATTTTTAGGAAGTGCTGCAGCTTTTCTTTTTTTTTGTAATACTGCAGCTAAAAGACATTTATAAAGAGGAGCAGTCTCCAGAAGAGTTTAATGACTTTTTTCAATGCACGTAAGTGTGCAAATTAAGTGGTAATTTTGGTTTTGCCTCTACTTGAATCTATATGTATTGGACCATAATCACTGCACAAATGAATTATTCAAGTTTTTAGTACTTCTTTATTCTGAAAAAATGCAAATAATTAAACAGCAATTCGTGTATTAGCTGGCTGAGATCTAGGATTTGTATATATACACAATACATACATTCTGCAACCATAGGAACTTTTAATTGGTAAGTGTTTGGTTTTAATTTTTGTTAAGCTAAAAACAAACTAACTATCTATCTCCTCTTCACAGTTTTAAACAAAGGTAAGTATTCTTGAATCAATACCTCTCCAGACTGGCCAATAGCTTCTTCTGTTGTCCCACATTGGCCAGCAGGGCCATTCTGCAGTCGTTCCAAAAGCTCCAGCAAAGCAAAGTTTTTTTTCAAGCCCCAGACACCTGAATCTCCTATTTTTGAAATAGAAAATTAGATTTAAAAACCACCACCACAAACTGCACTTGCATTTCTGCCAGTTAGAGATTAAGAGACATACATATTCCCACTAAACTGCTAGAACCAGAGTCAGTTATAAAAACAATTCTCGGTAATTTCCGCAGCATGGAAGCTGGCAAGATTACTCTAAGAATTAACAGTATTTTAACAAAACCAGTGGTAAGGATCTGCAAAATTTTAAGCAAAAAAGTAACGAATTTTTGACTGCCACAAATCTGTACAACACAAAGCTTTTTCCCGATCACCCATTATAAATATACTATTATCAAACACTTAACAGTGAAAAACAATTTGCACCCATCCTTAAGATCCCTGCATGACCACAAAAGATCCAAAGGCAGCAGAAATATATATTTCTGCTGCACTAGCGGGTCCAGTAGCGGAAAACCAGTGACACAGATGTGAAATCTGCAGCAGATCTCAACCTGGGAAAATGTCAGAAGAGAAGTAGATGTGTCATCCACAAACAAGGGACCATATATAGCACTGATCCACCTGGCCAAAAACACTGGAGGAAAGCGGCATGCCACATTCACTCCTACTACACCATCACCATTTTACACAGATCAGCCGGTGGCTGGCCACCTGGAAGCACACAGTGATGCCAAGTGAAGACAGGAAATCCCCTACAATTCCTTTCCTCTGGGGCCACCCTTCAAGGGGTATCCAAAATGTGGACAGGGACTGAGTATTTGCTTCTAAAATTCCAGGAAGGAAGCCACTGTCTGTGATTTCCCTCTACATCCAATACCATGGATGTGATAAGGCTTTCACAGAAGTGCCCCCTACAATGCTCTTCCTGCCAAGATCTTCATGGTTCTTCACCCTTCTGCCCATATAGAAGACAATAAGGCCTACAATGTTTGATACATCAATAGTCATTTTTAAAAATCAAATCCTCAGGTACTTTTCACTCAGTATGCCATATCTAAATAAAATCTAATATATCATTACACCAGTTGATCTTCTGAAAAAAGAGGTAGGCAAACAAATGTAATCATCTGTCAATTTAACTTGTATTCATTACTGGGGAAGGGAGAAAGACATTCTGGAAACTGTTTCTCAGAATAACAATAAAAGTTACACATGATCAGCAAAGGGGGGGAAAATGGATATCTGAGCTGATTCAAGGTTTGTCTAGACCAGAGGTGGGCAAACTATGGCCCGCGGGCCACATCCAGCCCGCAGGACTCTCCTGCCCGGCCCCATAGCTCCTGGCCCGGGAGGCTAGCCCCTGGCCCCTCCCCTGCTGCCCCCCTTTGGGGGCAGGGAGGGTTGGATAGAGGGCAGGGGGTGCTCAGGGGGCAAAGGTGTGGACAGGGGTCACGGCAGTCAGAGGGCAGAGAACAGGAGGGTTGGATGGGGCAGGGATCCCGGGGGGCAGTGAGGGGTGGGGGGTCCAGGGGTGGTCAGGGGACAGGGAGTGGTGGATGAGGTAGGAGTCCCGGGGAGCTGTCAGGGGGCGAGAAGCGGGGGAGTTGGATAGGAGGCAGAGGCCAGGCCACGCCTGGCTGTTTGAGGAGACACAGCCTGCCCTAATCAGCCCTCTATACAATTCTGGAAACCCGATGTGGCCCTCAGGCCAAAAAGTTTGCCCGCCCCTGGTCTAGACTGTTAAACTCCATAAAGGTGTAATATGTATTGAAGACATTAAACCAAAATTTCTCATTCCAATCAAGTCTGTTCACATTGGCGACAAAATAGTGAATGCGTACACACAGCGATGCGACTTGTCAGGAAAAATGCCCGGTTTTGGTGACAAAATACTTCCACCCCTACGAGATACTTTTTCCTGTTCCCTTCCCTTTATTATCGACAAAGAGCCAATGTAGACACAACACATGCTTTAATTGCTTTATTTGGCCTCCAGGAAGTGTCCCACAATGCCCATCCTGACCACTCTGGTCAGCAGTTTGAACTCTGCTGCCCTGAATCCAGGTAAACAACAATCCGCCCCTCCCCCTTGCAAGCCCCAGGAATTTTAAATTCCATTTCCTGGTTGCTGGTTCGGCACAGGGAGGTCTTATCGTGTCTTTCCAGATGACCGTGGCGGGCTATTGCATCAAACGCTCTCCTGCCTGGACCACAGCAAAGCTGTTGGATCTGATCAGTATATGGGGAAAGGAGTCTGTGCAGTCCCAGCTGCACTTGACCCATAGGAACTGGGATATCTTAAGGCTTGTCTGAAAAGGACTATGATTGGGGCACGTTGCAGTGCAGATCGAAGATAAAGAAGCTGAGGCAGGTGTACCATAAGGCAAGAGGAGGCAAACCGTCACTCCAGTGCTGCACCTAAAACCTGCCATTTCTATAAGGAGCTGGACGGTATCCTCAATGGTGATCCCAACTCCAAGAGCCCCGTGGATACTTCGGAGAGAATGGAGGAGGCAGAAGGAGTACCTAACCGGGAGGATGAAGTTATTGATGAAGAGATGGAGCTAGACTTGGATGTGGCACTCCCAGCGGAGTCAACCGGTGGGGCGGGCAGCCAAGAACTTTTCTCCACTCCTGAGGTGCCTAGCCAGTCCCAGCAGTTGCTCTCTGGCAAGCAAGAAGCAGTTGAGACGCCTGGCAAGTGGCTGTGGCGTGTGTAGTGCGGAGGTGGGTTCAGGGCATAGAAACGTGGGAGGCTGGCTGTGTTTCTGTGAGCTGGACATTTCCCAGTGTAGTACTGTGGAACAAGGTGTTGATGCACGCTGAGATATGATGGGAATCCTTCAGAGAGATCTCCAGCAAAGTTTCCTGGAGGTACTTGGTACTTCTCTGGCGCAGATTGCACAGCAGTGCAGCTTTGTTCCTTCCCCCATTGTAGGACACTGTCCCATGCCATTCAGCAATCACTTGTGCAGGGACCAAAGCGGCACGTAGGTGAGCTGCATAAAGAACAGGGCGGAAGCCGCAAGTGTGCGGTAGATGTACCCTGGTTTCCCTGCTTACCCTCAGCAATGAGATGTCTGCTAGAATGATCCCTGCCTGTGGAAAAGTGTGGGATAATTTGAGTGTTATTTCCCTGTAAAGCGGCACCGCAACCCCTGCAAAGACTGTATTTTCTTCTGTTCAGGTGCAGCACTCTCCCCGACCCTCCCGCAAAACTCACAATATTTTGGGTGCTGGAAGAGATGTGTGCCTGGCAAGGGTCACGAGAAAGTGATTGGTATGTTGCAAAAGGTGCATATAAGTGAAATGTTTCAACACTGTGCTTGAATTTAATAACCCCGCTTCTATGAATTGTCCTGTGCTTCACCAGATGTGGCCTTCAGGAACACCCCATACACCCCTGCTGACCGTCTCCACCAGATAAGAAAGAGGCCAAGACGCAGCAAAGGTAACACGTTCTGGGAGGTACTGCAGTGCTCCAGTACAGAGAAAAGGGAATGAAAGGAGTGCTGGGAGGCCGAAAGGCAGGACAGAAAAGAGAATCAAACATTTGCTAGGGATGTAACTGAGCGGATGATAAAAGTAATGGAGGAGCAAACAGAAATGCTCAAGTCTTTAATAATGTTGCAGAGTGAGCAGGTCTGGGTTCAACCTCCACTGCAGCACATGCACAGTTCTTTACAAGCCCCCCCGCCCGCCCACCCACCCACCCACATTCCGCCCGCACATTCTTTTCCACTGTCTGGGACTCCTCAGTTTCCCCAACACTCCACCCCTTCGCACAACTTTCACAATGATAGCTAGACTGCCCTTTCCCAGTCCCTCTTTTCCCGGCAAGCATCTGTGTTTTGGTAAGTGTCAATGTGCTATTTCTTGGTCAATAAAGGCAAAGTTTTATAATGTTAAATGATCTTTATTTTGTTTTCTACAAATTCACATTGTAATCACAAGTACATGAACAGGCATTTTAATCATTTTCTTACTGGGATATGTGGCCCCAGATGTCAACATAGCCTCCTAGGAAAAAAACATGGAATGCATCATGGAAGCTACTCTAAAGATGTATGTTGCTGCTGTTCATTGTCAAAGTGCTCCCCCAAAGCCTCCCTGATTTCAATTGCTGCCCTCTGGGCTCCTCTGACAGCCCTAGTATCTGGCTGCTCAAACTAAGCAGCCAAGCACTCTTCCTCAGCGTTCCACCCCTGAGCAAACATTTCACCCTTAGATTCACAGAGATTATGCAAAGTGCATCATGATTTAGGGATCAAAGTCTCATTAAGAAGCTCTCAGCCTTGCCTAGCAGGTCACTAGGCTCAGCACACAATCCCCCAAATATCTTGTGCCATACATCTAAAACACAAAGCAGAATGGACAGGAAATAAAGATTTCATTTAATTTTTAATCTGCTAAAGTTTAAGTAGGCGGTTAAAGAAGAATGTCTTCAGACAAGAAGTCAGTTACGTGATTTCAGTGTAATTTGCCAAGTAATCAAGATGTTTGAAGTCAGACAGCATTACTTTCACACTGTAACTTAATTACAAAATTATTCTGTATTAAAATATAGACTTTCAAGAACACTCGATCAAGTGTTTATTTTATAAATAAAAAAAAATGTTGCAGGGATTAAGTCATGTGGTGTATAACTAGATTCTACTTTAATCTCTGCAACACCTCAGTTCAAATCCTCCTTGGAGCACAAGGGTAAAAGTTTAAAATCTCATCCTTGTGCCTAGTGAGGATGTTTGTACATTACAAAACCACTACACAATCTGGCAGTCTCCCCTCAGAGGAGGCATAAGACATAAATACCAGAGAGTATGCAGATCAGACACAGTAACAGAGCAATGTAAGGAAATCTGGACTGATTCTAATCCAGTGACATCAATCTGTCACTTTCAAGAGCATAAACATTTTAAAAATTCCAAAGCTTACATATCTTTAGACACAAATTGCCTTAAAGACAACTGACAATATGGTACAGAGAACTTAAGATATAAATCAATACTTCTCTTACACATAAAATTCTAAAACTCTACCTGAGTTCTCAAATAGTATCTGAGATGAAGTGGAAACTTTG